AAACATGAGGAAGGTCCTCAGCCCACTTTCCTTTTGCTTTTTCTAACCTTTTCTTCAATCCATCCAAGATAACTTTGTTTGATGTTTCTGCCTGGCCATTTGCTTGAGGGTATGCCGGTGTAGAATTGTAGAATTCTATCTTATATTCTTCACAAAAGCCTCTAAAAATTTTGCCGTTGAACTGAGTGCCGTTGTCTGATATTAGCGCCTTGCATATGCCGAACCGAGTGATGATATTTTGCCAGACGAACTTCTTCACATCCTTCTCCTTTATTGATGCTAGTGCTTCTGCTTCCACCCACTTTATGAAGTAGTCTGTTGCTGCGAGGAAGAACTTTCTGTTGCCGGGTGCTGTCAGAAGTGGTCTTACTATGTCCAAGCCCCACATTGTGAAGGGCCATAGACTAGTTAAAGGTAGAAGCTCTCTGGCTGGCTGGTGTATTTGGTGTGCGAACTTCTGACATTTCTCGCACTTCTTGACATACTTTTCTGAATCCGCTTGCATTTATGGCCACCAATACCCTTGCGAAATGGCTCTGTAAGCTAATGATCTTCCTCCTTGATGGCTTGCGCATACGCCTTCGTGAATTTCGAACAAGAATGCTTCGACCTTGCTGGGATGGACACACTTTAGGTAAGGTCCTGTGAAGGATTTCTTGTACAAGGCCATTGATGGGGAGAGCCAAAATCGCTGCGATTTTGCTCTTATTTTGTTGGCCTCTTTCTTTTCTTCCGGTAGGACGCCGTCTTTTAGGAACGGTATGATGGGATCCATCCACGAAGGGCCTAGTTCGGCACAACATACCTCTTCTACTTCGGGTTCTTCAATGCTTGGTCTTGGTAGGTAGTCAATCAGCAATGGATGAGGGATGGAGGTATTTGCCATTGAAGTAAAGCCTGCTAGTTCGTCTGCTCTACTGTTTTCTTCCCTGCCAATCTGCTCTATCCGCACTACTTCGAATTTCTGGAAGAAAGAGAGAGAGACTATTATTTAGTTTAAAGATGATGAACGTGGGTTTTGGCTTGAGAGGTTTTTGGTCTTTATATAATGAGTAGGACCTAATAGAATAATCTAAATCATTTTGGGCTGTATAGAATAGAACTCTTAGAAAGAGATTTACTAAAAAAGTATCCATTTATGTTAAGTGTGTCTAAAAATTAAAAAAATTACATAAAATATTAAAAAAATTTATTAAAAAAAAAAATTAAAAAATAAAAAAATAAATTTTTTGAAAAGTATTTTCCGAAAACCAAACCCAAACAAGTTGGTTATTTTTAGATTCGCCCCTATGAGTAATTAACATGACAACCAATAAGATGCTTACTCGTAATTCCTTAAACAAAGCAACCTTTGCTACTCTGCTCATGCATGTTGTTTTCAATGTCCAACCTTGTCTGTTAGTCTTGTTCAAAAAAAACAAAGAAAAAACAAAAACTTGTCTGTTAGTCTACAGAAATAATTTGCCTCTATTAATAGGCATAATTTAAATATTAGAATATTAAATTAAGACACTTTTTATATACTGAGATCAAATCAATGCAATTTAATATTAGAGATAAAATTAAAATATTTTTATATATTAAAAATTAAATTGACTTAATTTAAATATTATAGACTAAAATGATACAAGGCTTTGGCCATAAAAAACGTAATTAATCCATTGTCAATAGAGTTTGGCTTATCCCAAATTAGTCATTTCAACTTGAGAAAGCGTTTGGAGTTGTTAGATTCATTTTGGTATTAATTTTCGTGATATAAGCCGTGCACATTTTAAGATTCTCTTAGTTGAATATTTATTTAAAAAATAAAAATAATCGGATATCTATAGTTATATGTTTGAATCACATTTTTATTATAAAAAATGAATAGTTATTCTTAAAATTATATTTGTTATCTATTTTTTAAAGGTAAATATAATTCAAACATATAACTATCGATATTCAATCATCTGTATGTTTTGCATGAATGTTTTAATCACGAGTCTTAAAAAGTGAACTGTTCAAATTACTAAAATCAATCTCAAAATAAGCTTATCAATCTTAAATACTCTTTCAAAATGAGATGAAGAGAAATTAAACTCTTGTCGATATTGCTCAGATGCACAGCTTTATTGCTCCATCTGGGCCATCTAATCCTAGCCCGCCCCTGCTGGGCCTGTCCAACAGAAACCATGACAAGCAAAAGCACTATATTTGGGTCATGTGCTAGTGCTACACCGCCTAATTTCATAATTTAACAATATTATTTAAATGTAATTCATTTTAGTTTCTTCATAAAAAAAGTTAAAATATAAATGCTATTTATTAGTCATATCACTACAGAGAGAGAGAGAGAGAGTGTTTGACATTACCACAATTCGAAATGGATTTGGTAGAGAAGTTGTCAAATTTTAATTTTGCTATCAAGAATGAAATATTATTAGAGTTGTTCACATAAATTAAAATATTATAATTTATTTCTAATTAGATACATATTATTTTTTTAGAAATGACTTCTCCCTAATTTGAACACTTCGATTATGCTACCTCAATCTTTTTATAAATCAAAGGTCTATATTTCATGTACTTATTAACTCATTTATCGTGTTTGAATTTTTTATTTTATTTTATTTTTTACTTCAATCTACTATTGAATTAGTAATTCATTAAAACAATATCAATGTGGGGAGCATTTGGTACAGGAACAGGACATCCAATTCAAATACCCAACTGGAGAGGAGTATATCCTTTATTTTTTATTTTTTATTTTTTCACAAAATCACAAAATAATTTTTTTTCGGTAAATATCACAAAATAAACTTAAAACTATAAACAAATGCCAAGTTTGACTATCCTAAATAAGTACACATTTTTTATCTTTTTATCTTTTTTTCATCACATCATCTCTTTACTTTTCTGTACATCTTTTTATAAAAAGACAAAAAATACACTTATTTATATCATTCCAAACAACCCCAAAATAAAACGCTGAAAAAGTGGATTCATGGTCCAGTCTTTAGTGGACTGAAGAGAATGTGCCTCCTTTTCTCAAAGTATATAGGTGCGTAGCTTTCATACTAGAAAAATCTGCACTTTTGACAACTCTTGTCTTCAATTAAGGGTCCGTTTGGGAAGAATTAAAGTGGGTTTTTTTATTATTTTAGCCATAAAAGATAATATATGCTATTTTAGCCATAAATTACAAAACATCACATCCAACCTATAATCATTACACTCTTCTCTCACAAAAAAAGTCAAAAAAGTCAAAAAGTCAAAAAAATCCTTCCCAAATCAAACTTTTTAACTCAGGCTAAAATAGCCAAAAAAATCAAAGAGCCAAAAACCTAACCCACTTTCCAGACGGAGGCTAAATAAGCGCTGCTTCTTTGAGCAAACGCTGTATAAACTCAAGCACAAGGACCTGGTTCGATTCCTCAATACTACAACCATCTTGTGCTAAACCTGGTTGAGTTACTTGAGCTAGATTGAGCCTCGTTTAATTTTAAAAACCACACATAATATAAAAATGACACGAACCTCCATCATAGAAAAATTTTCAAAAGTAAACCCACCACCACTGTCCCTCCACCTAAAAAATAAGTAAAATAATATACTAACCGTTCTTGTAATTTGAAACTCGTATCATTTTAGTTCATAACCTTTCAATTGTGATGTATTTAATTTTAAAATTTGAATATCATTCTAAATAAGAACAATTTAAGACACCATTACTCTATTTTAAGAGTAAAGTCATTAATTTAAAAAGTAAAAAATTAAAATGACACAAATCTTAAATTAAAAAAATTATTAATGTAATTTACCCTAAAATAAAAAATAAAACACAAAAAAACCTTTGAAAAAGTCGTATATATGTGGCTCCATTGACGTGCAGAGTTGTACCACCCACTATAATTCCAATTGGAGCTGATTGGTGCGTAGTTTACGGGATTCCAGTCAACTATAATACCTTATTATTTTCGCTAAAGTCGTTCACTTTATTATATACCTCTTTTTATCCGGAAATTTTAATATACACAACTATGCACCTCTAGGTATATTTTTTTTAATTATAATATTATTTTATTTAACAATGATTGAGATTATTTTTTTTTAGAGATTCTATAACTCTCTTTGGATCTTAACCATTGATGGTGTGAATCCTACACATATATAAATGGGTCTCACATATACTTCAATGATTGAGATCCAAAGAAAATTGTGAGGTAAAAAAAAAAGAGTTTCAAGCATTTTTCTATTTTATTTATAATTTATGATATTTTTAATTATATCTTATATTGTGTTTAGTTATGATATTTTTTATTTTTTTTAATTAGGAATACTTACCAATTAGTCATATAAATTAGATTTAGTGTTTATATACAAGTCTTAATTGATAAATTTATCTATAAAAAAAGAGAGACAGATAGGATTTAAAGGTTAATAATAAATCTCAAAAGTAAAACTATTGACTTAAAAATATAAAATTATATAATTTTCTTCTTTATTCTTATATACATTGTGCAATTTTTTTTCTTCTACTTTTTACTAACTAAAGTATAAAAAAAATATATTATTTATTTTACCTAATTACTTTAGTTATTGTGTTCTTCAATCACGCTCTTTATTTTAGCTAATCATTTAAACTAATTTAATTAATTTTTTAAAATAAAAAAAATACTAATTGTTGATATTTTATTAATATAAATTTGCAATAATAATAAATTTGCCCATACAAACATACAAAACCTATAGAATGAGGAGAAAAAAAATACAAAATACAAAATAAGTTTTTCCGTAATTCATTAAATAGAATTGAAAGAACATATAAAATTGCTACATACACATACACATATATAAATATACAAAAATTTAAAATATATACATACATAAGCCTCTGGAATTCTTCAATTGTAGCCATCAAAAAAATAGGATAATAAAATAACTAGTCCAATAACTAATCCATTAAAGCTCAAAATTAGAATTATATTGATTAAAATCCTAAGAAACCTTATTTAACTATCTCCTCCGAGATGCTCTACTAGGCTTGTAGCATAGTGCTTCCTTCTTTTTATCTCCATCATCCTTGCAGACTCATCGTCCAAATCATCTAGAAAACTTCTCTGTTTTACAGTTGCAAATCTTCCTATATATTCTCTCTAGTACCTATCGAATAATAATATTAATGGCTCATATACACCTCCTAGGCTCCTACGATTGAGTGAGAGTGTTCGTGACTCTCACGATCAACAAACTAGTTTACCAAACATGTCCATATGATAACTCCTTAGAACTAGAAACCCTTTTCCAGAGTTCATAGAATTCACAAAAAACAACCACCATGGCTGTAAACATAGTTCAGAGCAAACCCGTTTTCATATGCGGATTAGCGATGGCTCTGTTAATGGTTTGGACTCTCTGGTCTTCAGTTATGTCTTGGGCAACCATGTTAGACGTGACTAAGACGAATATCACACCGGCACAAGACGGCGCCGCCACACAAAACTGCACCACGGCGGCGCGTGGAGTCGACCCGATTGACCCGACTTTCTACGACGACCCGGAAGTGAGCTACTCGATAGAGAAACCGATCAAGGACTGGGACGAGAAGAGGAGGGAGTGGCTGAAGCATCATCCTTCGTTCGCTGCCGGAGCCGAGGATCGGGTTTTTGTCCTCACGGGATCGCAGCAGTGGCCGTGTAAGAACCCGATCGGCGATCATTTGCTTCTGAGGCTTTTCAAGAATAAAGTTGATTACTGTCGAATCCACGGGTACGATGTTTTCTACAATAATGCCTTGCTGCACCCGAATATGGCCGCTTATTGGGCCAAGATACCGGTTGTTCGGGCGACAATGGTGGCCCACCCGGAAGCGGAGTGGATCTTTTGGGTTGATTCGGATGCTGTGTTTACTGATATGGGTTTTAAGCCACCGTTGGAGAGGTATAAAAGCCATAACCTGGTGGTGGATGGATGGCCCAACTTGATCTACGAGAAGAAGAGTTGGATCGGTGTGAACGCAGGGGTGTTCTTGATCCGAAATTGTCAGTGGTCTATGGAGTTTTTAGATGTGTGGGCCAGTATGGGCCCACAGACCCCGAACTATGAAAAATGGGGTCAAATCTTAACTTCAACACTCACAGATAAGATGTATCCGGTTTCAGACGATCAATCAGCTCTAGTTTATTTGCTTCTGAAAGAGAAGGACAAGTGGGGGAGGAAGATTTACGTAGAGAATGAGTACACGTTGAGTGGGTATTGGGCTGGCATAGTGGACTCACTGGATAGAATTGAAGATAGTTATGATGAGAGAAGAGAGAATGGAGTGAGCAATTTGAGGAGACGGCATGCTGAGAAGGTAAGTGAAGCATATGTTGAGGAGGGGGGAGGTGGTGGCGGAGTTAGGCGGCCGTTTGTTACGCATTTTACTGGGTGTCAACCGTGTAGTGGGGATCACCCGGGTTACACCGATGAGGCCTGCTGGAACGGGATAGAGAAAGCTTTGAATTTCGCTGATAACCAGGTGCTTCGTAATTACGGCTTCGTGCGCCCTGACCTACTCAATACCTCCTCCCCCTTGCCTGTGCAGTTTGATTTTCCATCATAAAAGATCATTTAAAAAATAGTGGTAATTTTTATTTTTATTTTTATTAAGCAAGTACTATAGGGAACAAAATGTGTAGTCTATTGTTCATGTATTGTTTTTTTTTTGGTTAACTAAAATGACTGTTACCCTGGTGTTTCAATGTTAATCACCCTCTTAAGTATATTTTTTTACATACATACATACATTTATTTGGGTCATATCAATTAATATCTATCACCATTTTCTTTCTACTTTTCTAACTACTTTTTCTATTTTACCCCCCCACACATATATATATTTTAATAAAAAGTCTAAAAGTGCACTTATTTAGAATATTCTAAACCACCCCTTAAACTTATTTTAACATATCATTCAAGCAAAAAATTAGATCGATAAGATATCAGTAGTTATATGAATATATATTATTGGGTTAATTGTTGAAAAGTCCAAGTTAAGGAAAGTATAAGGCATAAGATCTAGGGGATATTTTTTTATTAGTGAGAGGTCTACTCTTTGTGAAATAATTTGGTGAGAAGTCATTTTATTTGTTTTGAAGGACATTTTGCTTCTAATTTTATCCCTTAATTTATCTGTCGACTTTTTTTTATCTGTTGACTTTTCATTGACTATTTGTTCAAATTTATATCTATCTGCTCAAATTTTTATCCTATACGTTCAAAATTTTTCCTATCTGTTCAATTCTTTTGCCTATTTGTTCAAAAATTTCCCTCTATTTGTTTAATTTTTCACTTATTTGTTAAAAATCTATTTAAGTAAAATTTTTATCTATTGAATTCCATCTGTGTGAAATTCTTTTCCTTATCCAGCATACATCCACTATTTGTTGAAAATTATTAAGAATATATCAGCATTCTATCTGTACAAATTGATTTCACATACAGATTTGCACAAATTGGTTTTAAAATTTTAATTTATCTGTTAAAACTAGCAATACAACCAAGTACGTCTGTTGAAAAAACTATGTATAATCCATAGGCCAATCCAACACTCTCAATCAAGCGTTATTTGTTGAAACCAGTGCATAATTATTATAATTTGTTTTATCATCTATATCACTATAAATCTATCTGTGATATAGATGAGGTTTAATCTATCTGTGCTCAACAATCATAACAATAATCTGAAATTACATTAAAAAAAATAATAAAATGAACAGATTCGAGAGAGAGAGAGAGAGAGAGAGAGAGATGGGAGATTGCAATATGTGTCATCATATATATCACTATATAACTATAGATTTATCTATGATATAAATACACTCAGCCTTGTCCAGATCTGATGACTCCGACTCAGATCGAGCTTCCGTGGTTGATGAATCTCTGGCGATGGTGACCAAGAAAGAGGTGAATTGGTGCTCCAGTTGCCGAGGAATGCAAGGAGGTATGATTGGATCTGAATTCCAATATAGCGAGTTCCTTTGTTTCGAGAACGGTACTTCGACCGCCACGATCTGGATCTGGATTTGGATTGTTCGCAAGCGTAATGCTACTGATCAATAATGTGACACCCTAAAATATATTTTACTTAATCTTTGAAAAAAATAATGTAATTACAACATTTTTTGAGGGGGGGCCATAGTAGGAATATAGGAAACTTATGCAAATAGTTTTCCAAAAACCTCATGTTTGGCATGGTAGGCCATGTGGTGAAACCACATGGTGTGTTACACAATGCTATATAGTAAGGATTTTCCCATCTATAAATAGGTAATCTGCATGGTAATGAACTCACAAGAATAACAAACGAGAGGTATATGAGAGAGTGAGCTGAAATCAGAAGTGAGAGTAAATGATCAAGTTTAAGGTGAGTTGCATTATATTTTAAGCTACCATAAACTGTTTTATGTAAATTATGTTTTGCAAATCATATTAGTTTTTAAAGTATATTATTTAGGGTATGCAAATAGTCCCTATATTTTACACGATGTGTCAATTTGGTCCCCGTAGTTTCAATTTGCTCGCTTTTGCCCCTTAATTTAACGGATTATGTCATTTTAGTCCAATAAATAACGGTTGTTAAATCAATTTAACTGAAGGTCAAATAATGTGTCAATTTGGTTCCTGTACTTTATACGATGTGTCAATTTGGTCTCCGTAGTTTCAATTTTCTCGATTTTAATAGGAATTATATTGACACATTGTGAAAAATACATGGACCAAGTTGACACATTATTTGATTTTCCGTTAAATTAACTTAACAACCGTTATTTATTGGACTAAAATGACACAATCCGTTAAATTAAGGGGCAAAATTGAGTAAATTGAAACTACAGGGACGAAATTGACACATCGTGTAAAGTACAAGGACTATTTGCATAATTTCCCTTTTATTTATTAAATGTACCCTATTTGCTTACAAAGGAAAACTCATAGATAAAACTGTTTATTAAATGTGGTTTGCATAATTATTTTATAAGTACCATTACGGCGGTCCCATGCCTTGGGTGATTTAAATAAACATTGGCCCTCTGAAATATCACTTTATGTGACCCTCTATTCTGTTCTATTGTCACTTTAAGTAACCCTCTATTGTCATGGATCCACTGACTCTCTGATTTCTGGAGTAGAGCAAAGTGCTGTGCGGAACTAAGTGCGGAACTATTGTGGGAGTCACCTCTAAAATTCGTACGAGCTACCTTTTGAGTCCATACATTTGTTCTGTTCTGTACCGTAGTTATGATCATTTTGTTTATATGATTTCTGTATTATATATCTATTATTCAAAATGATTTTCGTATTATATACTATGTATTTTAATATTAAACAAATTTATGTTTAGCCAAATAATTATCCATGGTGATTTTTATTACGAGAACCCACATTTAATTATTCTTAGAAGAAAATAAATAAATAAATAAATTAATTAATTAATTAATTTTATCCAGAGTTTATCTAATATATATATACATATAGTGTATAAGTTCTCGTTTGTGTTCAGAGGTAAAATTGAGGGGGTCGTTAGTGAGGGGACTGTTAGTGAGAAGATTAAGAAAAATTGTGTTTGTTTGATAACCAATGGACTAGTAATAGTTCATGTTTGTTTTGAGAGATATGGATGTGATTAACCATGTGAAATCCCATAAATACCCTTTTTGCATTATTATCAAATTTTGACTTATATCAACTAAAGAATAAATTTTTACTCAACGTTATTCTTCTTCTTCTTCTTTTTCTTTTCTTTTTGTTTTTAAATATTAAAGAATCTAACTATCAAAAAAAATTTAGTCAATATTATTTATTTATTTATTTTTCTAATATTAATGAATCCAACTATCAATAAACTTTTAGTCAATGTTATTCTCTCTCTCTCTCTCTCTCTCTTTAAATATTAAGGAATGCAGTTATCAATAAACTTGTACTCAAATATTTGTGTTTAATAATTACATGAGTCATATTATGAGCCTCATTCTAAGTATTAGGACCCTCATTCCATGAGTCATATTTTTCATAAATAGTCCCAAAAAATCTAATAACCTTTTTTTGAGTAAATAAGTTATAAATTAAAAGACAAAATATATAACAACTAGAAGGGATATATGTTAGATCGGTGGACCTTGATAAGTATTGTTCACTCAAACACTGGGTCTAATGGGGGGTTTGGGGGTCTCCCTTCAAGGGGGAGGGTGGTCTAATAGGGATACTTTCACTATGGCAGCCCAACCTGTTCAAGCACCACATATCAAAATTGTTACCCAAAAAGATCTGTCACTGCTTGGCCAGAAACCTATCCAGCTGGCCAATATATCCGCCGCCAGGCCAAAAGATTTGTACGACTGGACAATATCTGCTTGCCGGCTAGTAGAGGTGTTCGGCCAACCAAAATCATCTACAGCAGTAGACAGATGGGTTCATTGAGAATTACAGCAGTATTCTCGGTCTTACTTTAGGTGATGTTCATTGACATAATTCAAAGATTTTATGAAAGAATTTAGTGTTCTTTATTTCTTGTTTATACCAAACATTGTCCAATTATTATATGAAACAGTGAGAGAACTGGCTCTTATCAGATTGATTTGGTAGCTATGCTTAGGTCAAAGTGACTTCAGTACTGCCAAAGTAACTTCAGTACTCTCATCAGATTTATAATTTTCACAACATATCCTACCCATAGAAGAAGAATAATAATAAGAAGAAGAAAACAATGATAAAGAACAAATCAAAAGATGCTCAGCTAAATCTGTGAAGATCGAAAATCTGAAGATGAGAGAGAGCTTCACTGTTGTACTTGAGTTTCTCTTCAAATTGAAAATCTAAAGAACAGAGCTTCTCTTTGCCTCTCCTTCCTGCTGCTACTGCTGCTGTTTCTGCTTAAGGATGAGCTAGGACAACGATGGATAAATAAGTAAATCACTCTCCTATTACCAACAGACTAATCTTCAATACCAAGTGTTGGGGCAGACTGTGAATCCCATATGCAAGGCCCATCTGAAGCCCTCCAGCTTATAAATTCATTCCCCAAATCTGCAAACAAATATAACATTAAATGGGCCCCATCTCTATCCTAATCCCATCTCTCCCCTTATGCCCCAAAACAAATGGGGCTTAAGCTAGTTTTAAATTAATCCATAACAAAAACATTGTTAAGAATAATAATTTTGCGGGTATTCAATATTTATTGTTTATAATTTATTTTAATAAGGATTCAACATAATAATTATCCTTACTAAATACTTTAGTCAATTAATTTTAAGAAACCCATACAAATACACATACACACACAAAAATAAAAAACAAAAATAAAAAATTCAGATTTTCGATGGCAGTGTTGGGTGACACTTGCATGCTTGCATGTTATTGTAGGATATAGGCTCTCATTATATCTCTTGGTTTAGAAAATTTGATGGGACTAAATAGAATGATTAGAAGAAAGAGAGAGAGAGAGAGAGAGAGAGAGAGAGAGAGAGAGAGAGAGAGAGATGAGTCCCTATTTATGCATACATACAATTTACATCTTCCACCTCAAACTGGTCGGAGGGAATTCTGTGAGCAAGCTAAGCTAAGTAGGGAAAAGAAGAAGAGTAGAAGATTAAGGAAGTTATAATTTCATCATCCCATTTTAGTTCTACTACTATGTAAGAAAACCCTCTTAACTCTCTCATTTCTTTTCAATTGTTAAAATTTCAGATTTATGTTCATAGCTAAAATTTTAGATAAAATCTTG